CTCCCACTCCTTCTGCTTGTGTTCCCTCTTTTGCTGTGTCTCTCTCTGTCAAATAAATAAATAAAATCTTAAAAAAAAAAAGAAAGAAAGAAAGAAAAAAAGTCCCGGGGGGGAAGTTCTGCTCATGTCAGGGTGTCTGATAGCCCTGGTCCTTGTCTCCCCATCGTTGTGACAACCAAAACAGCCACAGATTTGCTTCTAGGGGCGTGATTGGCTACTTTTGAGAACCTTGACTTCTGGGGCCCCTTCGAGTCCAGGCTTGGGGGTTGTAACCCAGCCCCTCCTGCCTCAGCTCCCTCATTCTCTTTGGAGCTTCAACCCCATCATCCTTGCCCATGCTCCCCAAAGCCTCCCTGATCCCCAGGTCACCCTGCTGAGCCTTCTTGCAGGAATTTCATTTCTGCCACTCACTCAGCCTTCAGTTAACAGATGTTCACAAAGCACCTACTTAGGCCGGGCCCGTGCTGGGTGCCGGGGCAAATTGGAGAGGCAGGTGGGCATACCGACCGTCCCTCTCCCCGCCCCCCCAGCAGCCCCAGACCTCCTCTTCCCACTGATGATGTTCTGGGCTATCTCTCTCCATGCAATTGCTTTTTTTTCAGCAAATAGTGTGTCTTGGAGGCCGTTACTTGTCTTACACAGAGAAAAGGCTGGTTGTCCGTCCACCGCGTATCATTCCGTGGCATAGATGCTCCCTAAAGTTTCAACCATCCCCCTGTTCCTAGACATTGAAGCAGTTTCTGGTTTTTCACTATGCAAACATTGCTGCAGAGAACAGGGAAGAGCTCCATAGAAAGGTCTTTGTCTCCTTGTGCAAGTCTGTCTGTAGCATCGGTTCCTCAAAATGGAAATGTTCGGTGTTAGGTCAAAGAGGGCACATTTTAAGTTTTGATACCTGCTGCCAGATTGTCTTACAGAAAGGCTGTACCAATCTATGTTCTCAGGGCATGTGTCCACCCTCCTCCACTGGTTCTTCTTCAGGGTTGATGGATCGTTGTTATATTTTGCCCTAAGGTTCTAGTTTTCTGGAGGAAGGTTGGTCTGATAGGGGCTCTCTTGCTTCACTGGTAACAGAACCCTCAATTAAGTGTCTGCCCTTGGCTCAGGTCATGATCTCCGAGTCCTGGGATCAAGCCCCACGTCCCTGGGGCCGGCTACCTGCTCAGCGGGGAGTCTGCTTCTCCCTCTCACTCTGCTCCTCCCCCTCCTCGTGCTCTCTCTCTCTCTCACTCACTCTCCCTCTCGAATAAATAAAATCTTTAAAAAAAAAAAAAAAGAAACAGAACCCATGAGTTCCTCACACCATCTTTCCCTGTCATTGATCTTTATTTATTTTTAAAGATTTTATTTATTTATTTTGAGAGAGAGCATGAGCTGAGGGAGGGTCAGAGGGAGAGGGAGAAATAGACTCCCCACTGAGCGTGGAAACTGCCAGGGGGCTCGATCCCAGGACCCCAAGATCATGACCATGATCAAGCCCTGTGTCAGGTTCCACGCTCAGTGGGGAGTCTGCTTCTCCCTGAGCCGAAGACAGATGCTTAACTGACTGAGCCACCCAGGCACCCCTCCTGTCATTGATCTTTAAATGCTTACCCATCTGAGGGGCGTGAATGGTATCCTCCTTGTTTAAATTTACGTATCTTTAATAACCCATGAGAATGAATGTCTTTCCATAAAATTCCCAGCCATATCCATTTTTTGTTCTGAAAATTACCTTATTTTTCCTTTGTCCTTTGTTTTTTTAAAATTGCAGTTGACTCATAGACTGCCTATCTGTATGTGGGCCAATAACCCTCCCTTTGCCTGTTACGTATGTGAATAGGAAGGTCTTGGGGGGGGGCGGGAATGTGTGCCCATAACTCTCTTCCTCTCTATCCTCGTTCTGCAGGCCAGGTGTTCCTGACCGAGGTCCGGCTCATATCCGCCCAGCGGGGGCTCTCCCCGCCAGCCTCCTGGGTGGAGACCTGCTCATGTCCCGAGGGGTACACAGGCCAGTTCTGTGAATCCTGTGCTCCCGGATACAAGAGGGAGACACCACTGGGGGGTCCCTATGCCAACTGTGTCCCCTGCACCTGCAACCAGCATGGCACCTGTGACCCCCACACAGGTGAGTCCTCGCACCCCATCCACAAGCCCCCTGGGCTGTACCCAGCACAGCCGATGACCTGAGCAGGGTCAGCTGTGTGCATGTGCGAGTGATCACCAAGAGCAATACTCATGAAATGGTGTCATCAGGTTCCTCCCCATGCTGGGACCTCTCTACACTATACCGTCAACTCCTGCCGTTAGCGTCCCATCTTACAGGTGAGGGGCCCAACGCGCAGGGAGGCCGCTCGGCAAGTAGGTGGCAGAGCTGCTCCTGCCACAAGTTCACTGCCGGCAGTTCTTCCCCACTTGCAGCCAAGGAAACGCAGAGAGCCCACGAGCGAGGTCACCAGGCAGGAGCTGCTGGGTGGGGCCTCTCTCCACACCCAGGCCCTCCTGCTGCCCTCCTGGAGCAGGTGGGGGGTCTCTGAGAAGGGAAATGCCTGCACTGGAGCGGACAAAGGACAGCAGCCTGGGAATCAGCAGACTAGCTAGCACGGACAGACACACACTACCCATCAGGGGCTCCTCCAGTTTGGGCCGAGGCAGGCATCACTAATCGAGCCCAGATGAGGCCTCCCAGTGCTTCCGTGCACTGCTCCAGGTGGCCCCTCCCGAGGAAGTGCGATGCACGGCCGGTCCGTCACCCCTCGGAGCCCTTCGCCACCCCGTGACTTCCTGCTCCGTTTGGGCAGGTCCTCACCCGTCAGATGGGCAGCGAGACCACAGCTGCTCACACTGGATAGAAAGAGGAGTGAGCGCGGGGGTGTGGGCCGAGGCAGAGACCAGCGGAAAGCGGCACAGACATGATGGTCCCCCCTGGATTCGCCACCCTGAATTCCCTCTCTTCCCCCCACCCCACTGGGTGCTGCCGGGCCTCCTGGAAGCGGTGGTCTTACGTCACTGAGCCCTTCTCAGCGGGGCTCCTCCCTCAGTCCCTGGCCGTGGAGCCTCCCTTCCCCAGGGCACAGGGTCTGATCGGACTCCAGGTGCTGGAGAAGGGGGTTTGCACCATCCCCCAGCCTGAGCAACGAGTGGGGGCGGGGTCTGTTCTCTAAGACCAGGCCGCCTCCGGGAACCCGCAGACCCCATATACGGGGAGCCTCCTTGCAAACTCCTGTCAGGAACAGACTCCTGGGTCTCTGTCACTCTTGCTTTTGGCCCCTGAGGTTAAGAGAACACAGAGGAAGGGGCAGGAAACCCGTAAGTGTAGACACGGATGTGCCATCTGTTGGGTCGCTGATAGGTTTTGGAATACAGAATACCAACGATAACAGTCCTGGATCATTCTGTGAGCCGGGGACTGTGCAGGGCACTCTAGCTGCATCCTGACGAAAACCCTCGAGATCAGAGCCCTTGTTGTGTCCATCTTGCAGGTCACTGAGGCACAGGGTGTTAGATGGTTTCCACAGCTCCACACGGTCAGTAAGTGGGAGACTTTTTCTCCCCAGGCTGTGCTGCTCCCGCCTTGGAAGGTTCCCACCTCAGTTCTGCTGGGGATGTGCTCTGTGACCTCTCCCACCAAGATGCCCCCGTCTCTGGAGCATTCTGGGCTCAGGTGGTCGTAACCAGGTGCTTGTCTTTCCCTCAGGGATCTGCCTGTGCGGCCACCACACCGAGGGCCCGTCCTGTGAGCGCTGCTTGCCAGGTTTCTATGGCAACCCCTTCGCAGGCCAGGCTGACGACTGTCAGCCCTGCCCATGCCCCGGACGGTCGGCCTGCACAGTCATCCCAGAGAGCAGGGAGGTGGTGTGTACCCACTGCCCCTTGGGCCAGAGAGGTGAGTGGCTCGTGCCCTGGGGCCCTGCCTCTGTCCTGGGCTCCAGGAGTGGGGTTCTGGGTTTGGAGTGTGACCGATGGGGGAGGGCCTAGCTTAGGAGTGGCAGGCCTGACCTCTCAGAACACGGCCAGGACCCCGGGCTGCTGTGGGTTCCTGGCAGAACTTGAGTGGTTGAGCATGTCCAGGAGAGCTTTTGAAAATGCCCTTCTGGGCCCTGGCCCCATAGAGCCTGATTAGTAGCTCGAGATGGACCCTGAGAATCTATATGCGTAACAAGTGCTCTGGCTAATTCTGATACACGGTTAAGGTCGAAAACCTCTGATTAAACTTCCAGCTTTTACTTTTTTTAAAGATTATTTATTTATTTGTCAGAGTGAGCGCGAGCATTGACATAATGTTGCCAAGGTTCTCAGACATCTGACTGTATGTGTGGTGACTGGCTGCCTCAGGACTGGCCATTACGTCGGTCCTGTCAAGTGCCTGCTTTGCTGGGGAGCGCTCTGCTCTGGAAGCAGCTCCCCACAGCCAGCCGCAGGAGGGGGGCGGGGCGGGGGCCCCAAGACCTGACAGAGCCAGGTCCCACTTGGGGACCCTGCACCCCACCCTGCCATCATGCTGTGCCTCCGCTCCCTAACCTTCCCCACATTTTCTGGCTCCCCCCAGTCTACAGACGTGAGGGGAGCCCCCTCCGGTGGGTGTGGACAGTTGTAGAAGTTCAGTGTGGCCCAGGCTGAGCTGCACCTGAGGGAGGACTTTGGGGGAGCAGGGCGCTGCAGTGCACAGAGGGAACAACCCCCCGGGAGGGGTGCCCGGGTGGGCACCAGCCCCCGCCTTCACCACGCCAGCATCCTGCGGGCCTTGCTGAGGAAGAGGATGGTGGCCGTGGTGCTGAGGAGGGTGACGACAGTGACTAGGCGGGGACAGCCCTGCTGCTGAGCACTTACCTCACCAAGCCCTTGGAGGTGCTGCCATTATAGTCCCTGCCTTGCAGACGAGGAGCCCGAGTTCAGGGAGGCACAGGGGCTTGCCCAAGACCACACAGCCCACCGAGGGCTGAGCTGGGCCCTGGCCCCGGAGCCCATGCTCGGCTGCACAGGGAGGCCCGAGGCACGCCCGCCCTCCCCGCCTGGGGCCCCGGCAGCCTCGCGTGCCGTGGGCCTCGGGCCTCGCGCCTGCTCCCGCACACACAGCCGTCTCCCTCCCCCAGGGCGGCGCTGTGAGCTCTGTGATGACGGCTACTTTGGAGACCCTCTGGGGCTCTCGGGGGCTCCCCAGCCCTGCCTGCGGTGCCAGTGCAGTGGGAACGTGGACCCCAACGCCGTGGGCAACTGCGACCCCCTGTCTGGCCACTGCCTGCGTTGCCTGCACCACACGACAGGTGCCCACTGCGAACGCTGTCAGGACGGCTCCTACGGGAGCGCCCTGGCCCCTCGGCCCGCAGACAGATGCACGCGTGAGCACCCACCCTCCGCCCCGCGGGTGGGGCAGGGCGGGGCCCCTCTCCACCAGACCCAGCCCGCAGCTTGGGGGAGCTGTGCAACCTCAGGCCGATTCCTCACCTTCTCTGTCCCCTTGTCTGGAAGGTCTAGGAGTTTGCTCTCGTCCAAGGTCAAGGTCTCTCTCAGCCTCGATCTAATCAGTGCCGATCCTGTGATTTTTTTTTTTTTTTTGCCTTGATAATTTAGTCCTCATGAGGTAAGGTAAGCCCCGCAGTTAGCGCCTACGACTGTCCTCCGTGGCAGACGGCACCCATCACGTTTGTGCTGCCCCTGGGCTTCCAGCAGGCTATTCCTCTCCCCAGCCTGGGTTAGCACTCAGCCCCCTGTCCCCGCTCAGAGGGCCACGGCGTGCCTCGGCCCGTGGAAGGCCTCCAGAAGTGCTGGAGGGAGAAGCCCAGCATTTCCCCCAAACTTACTTGCTCCAGAGCCCTTTCATCATGTGAGGAAGCCGGCCTCTCACTCTGTGGAGCCCAGGAGATCAGGGTCAAGTGACCCAAAACGGTGGGCACCCGGGTCCACCCGTGACTCCCTGGCCTGGTCTCTGGCGTTCTCCCCAGCCGGCTGGGGTTCAAGGCAGGTTCAGAAGAACCATCTGCAGCCATGAGGATTCTAGGCTGTCTCTCCAACGACATAGGAAATGGGGTGAGAGTTGAGCCCTAGAGCCTTTTTCCAGAAAAAGCTTAGTAGTCTGTGTTGAATGTGAGGCATCCCCGTGGGCTCCCCATCTTCTCCTGGACCCCCAAAGGTTGAGTCAATGATCTGTGTGGTTCCCCAACACCGTTTCTGCTTCCATTCCCAGCCTGCAGCTGCCACCCCGAGGGCTCAATCAGTGAGCAGAGAGCCTGCGATCCGGAGACCGGCCAGTGCCCCTGCCTGCCTCACGTTACGGGACGGGACTGTGGCCGCTGCAGCCCCGGCTTCTACGACCTCCAGCCCGGGAGGGGCTGCCAGAGGTGAGTGGGGTGAGGCTGCGGGTGCCCTTCCCCGGGTGTGTCTGCAGGATGGAAGAAGTCCCGGGGAGCCCCCAGAGGGGGGCCTGGCTTAGAATGTGTCATCCCAGGCCCACCGCCAGGGACACTGTGCCCTGCCCCAGAGGGGGACAAAGGGATGGTCCCTTGGGGGGTCAGACTCGTGGCCCTGCCAGCCCAGGACGCAGGCCAAAACCAACCCTGAGGGACGTCCGGGTGGGCAGAGGGCCGGTATGGTCTCTGATTCCCCGCTCAGTGATGCTGCAGCTCTGTGGCCTTTTTGGCCAGAGCAGCACCTTAGACAGTGTCTTTAGGGAGCAGCGGAGGACCCCGAGGAAATGCCCAGTGCAGCAAACAGGCTTCTTCCTTGCAAGACTTCTCAGTGCCTTTAATATGCTAATTGCGTTGTGACTTTCCAACAGAGGGGCATAATCTGCAAGATTTGTCAGTCCCCATAGCCTTATTTGGGGGGTGGGGGTAGCTTTTTTGTGAGACGGTGCTTCCCAGGACGCAGCTCGGGGAAAGCTGTTGGATGTGTAGCCACGTGGCGATGGGGCCTCGTGGGTGGAGAGTGTGATCCGGAGGCCCCTCGCGGGCCGCAGCCAGCCGAGGCTGGGTGGGGAGCGGCTCAGAGCTGGTCTCCGACCCGGGTTCCTTCCCCATCCTAGCTGCAAGTGTCACCCGCTGGGCTCCCAGGAGGACCGGTGCCACCCCGAGACTGGGCAGTGCCCCTGTCGCCCCGGGGTTGAGGGCCAGGCCTGCGACAGATGCCAGCTGGGTTTCTTCGGCTTCTCCATCAAGGGCTGCCGGGGTGAGGAGGCCGGTGCTTCCCGGCTGCCCGGAGGGTGGGGTCTGAGGTTTCTGGTCAGCAGCCACGGGGATGCCAGCCACGTGGCAGAGAAGGGAAGATTGGCTGCAGGCCGTAGAAATGTGGAGAGAGCGTAGGGGACCAAAAATCTAGCCCCAGGCTCCACTGCTCAGTTCCCGTGTGCTGGGGTCATCGAGTCACCTCTCTGGGCCTCAGCGTCCGTATTCGCACAGCTGGACTGCCTGGCCGTTCCTAAACATGGCTGCTTCTCAGACCCAGGGACACTGGAACAAGCCAGTCCCCGCCTCTGACCTTCTGACTCAGTGTCCCGGGAAGGACCCAGGAGTGTAGTTGAGCTGGCCCTGGGGGGTCTGGAGCATCCAGGTGTGAGCATGCAGGGGCCCTGGGGGTTCCGACTGGGGGGGATGCCATCTGCCCCGGTTCCCTCAGCCTGCAGGTGCTCCCCGTCGGGCGCCGCCTCGGCCCAATGCCACAAGAACGGCACGTGCGTGTGCAAGCCCGGCTTCGTGGGCTACAAGTGTGACCGCTGTCAGGACAACTTCTTCCTCACGGCTGGCGGCACACGCTGTCAGGAGTGCCCGTCCTGCTATGCTCTGGTGAAGGAGGAGGTGAGCCTGCCCTACCTCCCATCACTTCACACCCCCTCCCATGAGCACCAACTCTGTGCTGGGCACCGGGAAATGCCTGCTCACCGCCGGCTCTCAGGCCTTCTGGGGCCACTGGTCACCTTCCCGCTGTGCCCACCCAGCCATCAGGCCAATGCCAGCCCTGCTCAGCCCTCACCTCTGCCTGTCCCTGGCTCCTGAGCACATAGGAGAACAGTGCCTTGCACCAGCTGTCCTTCCCGAGCACCCAGGCCCACGTCTCATACTTTCTGAAGTCCAGGGGGGATGAGACCATAGATGGCCCTTTGTGGGGAGGGTCAGGAGGAGGGCCATGCCCATGCTGGGACACAAGTAGAATTTTGAGCAGGGAGCTGGTGTGGTGCAGGGGTCAAGGAGCATGAGCTCTGGGGTTCCCCTCCCCAGCCCCATTCGTTGTCCCCATTAGCAGGTAACAGCTTTGGTAAGTTTCAGTGTCTCTCTCTGTTCTCTCTCTATTCCACAGTGGACATAGACCTGCAACCCCTTCCCTGAGACCGGGGAGGCCAGCCATCAGAGTGATGGTACTCTAGAAAGATACAATGATGGGCGCTGAGCATAAGCTGCCCCCGAGCAGTGCCTGGGCCAGTCCCTGCAGTCAAACCCAGTGATGTGTCTGTGGGAAAACAGGCGAATAGTCACACCAAACATAAATAAGGGCCACAAACAGCCTCATTCAGAACAGTTTTGCTTCCCAGTGAGTTTAGAATTTTTTTTTTAACCTGGATTTTGCCATCAAATAAGGACTGGAAAGCCTCATGGTCTTTCAGAGCATTCTGGACTTTTGGAATCAAAGAGAGGGCTCGGGACCTGCATCCCCTGGCCCTTAGGGTGGTTACAGGGTGAACACGAGCAGGTGCGTGGCCAGTGGGCACTAATGGCTGGCTCCTAGCACGTGCTCTGTAAATGCAGTTATTGTTCGTGTGATTAAAAGAGCAGCGCTAGGAGACACTGCATGGCGCGCTCACTAGGCCAACAGGTATCCAGGTGCACCTGATCTGTGGCAATATAGTAGGACAAATTCTCCTGGGGATTACCTTCTTGTCCTTCTCTAAGTGGAACAGAGATGTGGTCGGCTGAATGGCAGCAGGGGTCGTGGGTGTGAGAAGGAAAGGGACCGGAAGGAGGAAGGGGTGGGCAAGGCTGGTTCTCCAAGGTCTGCTGTGTCCTCAGCTTTGGCACCCAGGATGAGATGGGAGAAGGGAACCATTGGGGAGGGAAGGCCAGGCAGAAGCCAGGGGGAGGTGCCCAGACCAGACTTCCAGGCCACCAGCCTCACACACCCTTCTTTTCCTGACTCCTCCAGGCTGCCAAGCTGAAGGCCAGGCTGACCCTGATGGAAGGGTGGCTGCAGGGGTCTGACTGTGGCCCGCCCTGGGAACCACTGCACATTCTGCAGGGAGAGGCCCCACGGGGGGATGTCTACCAGGGCCACCACCTGCTGCAAGGTAGAGTGAGAGAGCAGAGTGGGAGACAACGGGATGTCTGGCTGGTCAGACACATCCCTGGGAGCCCTTCGGTCTGCTCTCAGGATGCTTCGAAGGCTCTGAGGGCTTGGTCCTAGAAGAAGTCACTTTCTGGGAGAGCCTGTCTGACCTCCACAACTACGTGGGCTCATCCCATGACAGTCTCATCTCCCCCTAGATCTTTCCTTCGATTTCCCCCACCCAGTTGTGCTTTGTAACCTTATTAATGTTAGTCTCTGACGATAGCATCTAGCCCCATGCCCCACCCAGACCACAAGCTCAGTGAGGACGGGCTGAGTTCATTCAATGATTCACGCATGCAACAAATAATCATTGAGGTGCTGTCCCAGGTGCTGAACAGGTAACGTTTCTGCTGTCTTGACTGTTGGCCATATTGCTCACTCCCCAGCATAGAAAATAAATGACTGAATGAGGGGGGAAAAGCTGTTATTAGAGCCAGGTGGAATCTGGCCTTGGGACACTGCAATTTAGGGAACCTTGAAAGTGAATTGATTCTTCTGTATAATTTCGTGTTCATAAGCATCTATGCTCATTTAGCAGCCAGACATAGGTAAGCTGAGCTCCTGTTAGCAACACTCATTATCAGAATAGGGAGCTTCCAGATGCTCTGTGTTAAGAACCCCATAATAGGGGCACCTGGGCGGCTGAGTCGGTTAAGCATCTGCCTTCGGCTCAGGTCCTGATCCCCGGGTCCCGGGATCGAGTCCCGCATCAGGCTCCCCGCTCAGCAGGGAGTCTGCTTCTCCTTCTGACCCTCCCCCCTCTCATGCTCTCTCTCTCTCTCTCAAATAAATAAATAAATAAATAAAATCTTTAAAAAAAAAAAGCCCATACTGAGCCACACTGCAGGTCACAGAGCTGACTCGAGGCGGGGGCGTTTCTGCGGTCTCAGGTTCAGGAATTGCTTGTTGTGGCTCTAGCAGGTCTGGATTCCTTCTAAGCCTCTTGACTTTGGCTGACTTCTGGTGTGGGAGGCCTTGGGTTGTGATTGGCCTCTTCTGGGCCTCAGCATTTGCATCTGTAAAATGGCGAGGTTCTTCCCTTGGAACTGACTGGTGGTGGCGCTTAGCTCTGGTGATGGAGTTCAGCTGTGCCCAGGCAGAGTGCAGGGCACAGATGGGGGTCCCCGAAGGCAGGCGCTTCATTGTGAAATCTCAATTGCTCTGTGACCCCTGGACTTTGTGGGCTTCATGCAGGAGCCCGGGAGGACTTCCTGGAGGAGGTGACAGGCCTCGAGGATGCGGTGAAGGCTTCCCGGGAGCAGCTGCGGGCACTGAGCAGGAGTGCCCACTGTGCCCAGGCCCGGGCAGAGAAGCCCTGCATCCAGCTGGCAGAGCTCGATGCAGCGCTGGAGTCCTCGGAAGAAGAGATTCTGCAGGCAGCCATCATCCTCAAATCTCTGGTACCCCAGGGGCCCCTCCCCACCACCCGCCCTGGGCTCACCTGGTGATCTATCTGGTGGCCTGGGGTGTGCTTCTTTGGAGAGGCTCCGTTTCCTCGTCTGCAGAATGGGGGTCACACAGTGCCCCTTGTGCTGACTCAGTGGGATCATGTCTACATAGAACAAGGCATGTTCCAGGTGGACAGTGAATGCCCATCGAATGAGTGGTGGGTGTCATTTCTGTCGTTTCCACGTTCCGGGGCTCTGCTCACCAGGTGCTGACTTTGAGCCTTTATATAGCATTTATAAAATAACTGGCATAGTTTGTTCTCCCAGTAATTTAACCAAATGAGGCCCTTGCCCTTCAGGGATGGCCATCAGTTTTTCCTCTCTCCCTCTCTTCTCCAAAGGTGATTCCTCAGGAAGGGCCCGGCCAGCCCACCACCTGGAGCCACCTGGCCACAGAGGCCCGTGCCCTCGCCAGGAGGTGAGACCCTAAGCCCTGGGAGCCTGGTCCAGAAGGGAGCCCAGCCCTTTTTCAAGGGGGTTCTGGGGTTAGGGTCAGCCTCACAGGTGTCCCCCTGCCTGGATTCAGACCCAGGCTGTCCTGACCACTCTTTTCTGTGATGGCTTTATTAGGGTGACCATATCATCATTGTCCAAACTGAGACTTTATGTGTGCTAAAAGACCTGATGGATCATTATGCCAGGACAACAGCCATAAACTCTCTGTAACAGGAATACACTCGCTGTGTATGGGGCGGAGGGAGGAGAGGAGCCTGGCCCTCCAGACTGGACTCTGTTTGGGTTGGTGGGAGGCCCACGTGGTGGGAGGTGTGGGTTCGGGCATAGGCCCCCTTCTGTATGAGCTGTTGGTGACGGACAGGTGGGCTTTTCCATACAGCCACAGGGACACCGGTGCCAAGATTGAGGCCACTGCTCGGAGGGCCCTGGTCGCCTCCAACGCCAGTTACGTGCTTCTCTGGAGTCTGGTGGAGGGCAGAGTGGCCTTGCAGGCCCGGCGGGAACTGGAGGACAGGTGAGGCCTCCCGGGTGTGGGTGGAAGCTTGAACTGGCCTCCTGCAGCTAACGGGGCCTGGTGGCAGGCTGCTGGTTCCAGAACTGGCTTCCTTCCCAAGTCCTGACGTTCTTTGTGTGGGGGTGGGAAGGATATCTGAGGTCTTGGGCCCACTTTGCCTGGGGGTACAGCTCAGCCTCTGGAGAGAAGGGACGAGGGCCTGAACCAGGAAGATCCAGAGCAGCACCTCCCTCTCTCACCCCTGCCGCATCCCCCAGCCCCATCCCAGGCGGCATCCCCCCCCGCCCCGCCCCTGGTCCCCAGGCAGTTCCTCTCAGGCACCAGCTTCCAGCTTGGCCTCTGTTTCCCTGGGTGACCCTCTTCTCTCCTCCGTAGTCAAAGGGTCAGGAGAGACCCAGCGAGTTCTCAAAAGTCCCAAGTTGACTTCCTAGATGAGAGAATCTAACTGGCCCACCTCCAGTCAGGTGGCCCGCCCCCAGCCAACTAGCATGAGTGGGGTGAGGTCACATGACCCACTCCTGGGGCAGGGGTGGGGGCAGGGCCTCTCTGAGAAGTGGGGAGGGGTGAGAGACAGCCAGAGGTCCGTGCCCCTGGTGGAGATGGGCGGGGAGGGTGTGATCAGCTGGACGGCACAGAGAACTGTTCTATGGGGTTGACTACAGCCCCTTGGAGCTAAAGGGGCCTCAGAGCAATCCCGCAGCCCAGGGCTCTCCATTTATCTGGAGAGCGGCATGCCCAAGGTCACCCGAGGGCATAGCCAAGACCAGGGCCTGGGCTTCCGTCCCTTCCCCAGCACCAGGCACTTTCCACTTAGTAACTCAGCCAGAGGCTCCCAACATTTGCAAAACAGATGACTCTTGGGTGGAAACCAAGGGCAAGGCCCTTCAGAAAAAAGTGCTTGAATGGAATGAATGAAGAAACAAGAATGTGGTGTCTCCACTGCCTCTTCCATTCATGTGAACGAGGCCGAGCAGCGGCCAGTTTCCGAGGCCAGCTGCTGGGTGCGGACCCTGAAGAGGGCTCCAGCGGGGGGCTGTGGCGGGGGGTGGGGGGCAGCCACAGGGAAGGATTGCCCTGTGCCCTCTGCCCTGCGAGCCACCTCTGCTGTCTCCTCTCAGGTACCAGGAGGTCCAGGCGGCCCGGAAGGCGCTGGGCACAGCTTTGGCAGAGGCGCAGCCCGAGGCCGAGAGGGTGCTGGCCGCTGTTGCGCGAGACGGTGCAGACGCAGCCCCGCGCCTGGCCTCGCTGGCCACCCCCGCAGCACAGGTCAGCCCGGCCCCGGAGCTCGGCATGGGGTGGGAGTGGGAGAAAGCGGCAGCTGGGAAACCGGTGCGGCCCGGGTTCGGGCAGATCATGGGGCTTATTTTTAACTAGATGGCGGTCGATTAAAACAAGATAATCCACCTCCGTGGCTTGGCGGAGCGCCCGCCTGGCAGAGTTAGCGCTCGGCCAGTCTTCGTTGTTGGTTGTGATGATCTAGCGAAGCCACGCAGTTCGCCGAAGCGGCATTAACAAAGGCACCAGACAGGCGTGGGATCAAACCCCAGCTCCCCCCCTCCAGATCTGTGACCTGGGCCAAAGACTTCCCCCCCCCTGTGCTTCAGTTAGGTCCTCTGTCAGATAGAACTCACCCATTAGGTTATCCTAGGGCTGCGTCCACGGGGGCCGGGAGAGGATTCATGAGTAATGTGCAAGGTGGCCCTAGTGCTTGTGGGCCCCCTGGATAAATCAGCTCTGTCGCGTCTGCTCAGTAATCCTGAAATCCCAGAACTCAGAAACTGCACTTTAAGGAAGAGACTGAGCTTCTACAAATAGATTTGGGGCAAAACCTGACCTGCCTGAAGCTGCTTGTTTGGGGTCCATGAAGAGTACCATGCAGGTGTTACCGGGCTTGACCCTGAGGGTGGCCCCAGAAGCCGCCCAAGGTGCTAGATGATGAGCGGTACCTAAACAGCTCTGCTTCTCTGAAGTCAGGAAAGTACATTCGCCCCCAGGATTTCCGCTGAGATTGTGGACCTGGGGAAGGAGATGCAGGTCAGGGAGGCCTCACTTCTGGTCACTGGTAGAGCTGGGATAGAGGCAGGGTCCCCCACCCGGCGTCCCCTGCCCTGGCCCCTCCGCTTCCCGGGGTCTACAGGCAGCCCTGCCCCCGCCATTCCTGCCCCGCTAGACGATCTGCCCCTCCGACCTTCCGGCCAGGCCCTGCCTGAGCCCACCATCTCCCTGCAGCCTCAGAAGTCCCAGGCCGGGGCCCTGAGCCTGAAGGTGCAGGCCCTGGAGAAGACAGTCGCATCCAGAGAGCGCAGGCTCACCGAGGCTGCCGGGACCCTCCAGGCCACCGCCCAGGCCGTGCTGCACAAGACTGAGCCCCTCACGCAGGTGGGCTCCTGTCCTTTGAGGCAGGCGCCAGGGGCGGGGTTGGGGGGGGAATGCAGGGGAGGGGAGGGCAAAGACCGGAAATTGTTCTTCCCATCCTCCAGTGTCTCCTGTCTCCTGCAGCACCCCCTGCCCAGCTTCTCTCTTCTCTCTCCAGCTACGCCAAGAGGCCGGAGCTGCCCTGACCCAGGCTTCCTCATCGGTCCAGGCCGCCACACTGACTGTCACCGGAGCCAGGACCCTGCTGGCTGACCTGGAAGGTACACATGCCTTGCTGAACCCGAGGCTTCTTGATGCACACATGTCCGTGACAGCCACCCGGACTCCTGCCTCAGCCGGGCCAGCTTGGCCCTGGGGACAAGAAGGGGACAGAAGTTCAGTTGTGAGGGCATAAGCCGAGCAGCCTGTTCCCCACCCCCACCCCCAACCAGGACCTCTCCCGTGGCCGCTTGTCTCTCCCTCACACACCACTCACCAGTGTCTCACCCACGAGGCTGTCAGTCATCAGACCACACGCAGAACCAGTCGGGGCCAAGAGACTCTGATGCCCTCGGCCGTCCATCCCTGGTCTAGTCTGCTCTGACGGGGGGGTCCTGTCACCTGGTACAAATGGCTGCCATGATCCAGGGTTCAGCTGAGGCCACGGGGAAGGAGACAGACTTCTCCTTAGAAAGGGGTGTGGGTTGATGCCAGTCCAGGTCTCCTTGAGCCTTAGGAAAATGAGGATAAGTGGTCCCATTTTATAGATGTGTAGACCAAGGAAAGGGATTGATAACTATCCCTGGGTCAGAGGTGCGTGTAATAGAAACCGTCCAGTGTTAGGATTCTCCAGCTCCACCTCCCCTCTAGAACAGGCTTCTGTGGTGTCCCCTGTGCTCCAGACAGAAGCCCCCTCACTCTTTATCTGTGGCTCTGCCCAGTGAACTGGGTTAGGCAGGAACACTGGCAGCCCCAGAGGCCCCTTGGGGTCTGAGACTGGAAGTCAGGCTCTGTGGTCCTCTCAGTTCCGGAGCTTTCCTCCCCAACTCCATCTGCTGCCGCTGAGAGATGTGGCTGCAGCCGCGGACCCCTGCCCTCTGGGGCAGAGGGTGAGCTAGTCGGTGGCTTCCTTTTCTCTAGGTTTCTCTGCAGTCGGAAGGCCTGGCCACCCACCAGCCAGGGGGCTTCCGATGGGGAAGGCGTAGCCTCGAGCACTTATCTCTGAGTAGCGTTTAGGAAAATGTAAACTCCGTGATTGAGTGGTAGAACATTAGGACTTTAGAACATTAAATTGTAAGGGTTGCTAAAGCCATCTGCTGCAACCCCCTCACCCAGCAGGGGGCTCTTCCACCCTCTGCTTCCCTACTTCCAGCAATGTGGGGTCACTAGCCCACGAGGTATCGCCTTCTCGCTGTGGGATGTACTGCATGGAAATTTGCCCCCTTGGTGCAGTACCGTGGTCCACACAAGGACTCATCTCAAACCACTAACTCTAAGCTCTTTTCCCCATTCCTACCCCTTTTCAGAGACACCCTCTCTCACCACCAGCTGGCCTGTGCTCAGTGGGTATTCAGGATGAAAGGAAAATTCACTGAGTGAATATGGAGCAGCTTTCCCCAGGGTGTGGCCCTGGGGCCCCTAGCCCAGGAGAGGCTCTGCCACCAGTTGTGTTTGTGTTCAGATAAGTTTAGGAAATGTCGCTACTCTAGGGCCCTCTTGAGGCCATACGGTGTGCACCTTACGATAGTAAAGGCCCTGAGAAGTCCTGCCATAAAGAAACCCGGTTCTCTTTATTTATTTAAGCTTGATGTTTTCTCCTGATGTTTAGTAATACCCCATAGAGTTAGGACTCCACGGAGTGCATTTTAAGAAACACCAATTTTGTATACAAGAAACAAAGTAGGGGCACCTGGGTGGCTCAGTCGTTAAGCGTCTGCCTTCGGCTCAGGTCACGATCCCAGGGTCCTGGGATCGAGCCCCGTATCGGGCTCCCTGCTCGGCAGGAAACCTGCTTCTCCCTCTCCCACTCCCCCTGCTTGTGTTCCCTCTCTCGCTGTGTCTCTCTCTG